TTTTTTTTTTCCCGTTTCTCAATTTCACACAGAGAACCAAACCTCATTTTGAGCATTTTCACTTCATTTGCTTAAAAAGGTGAAGAAAGATTTGTGGGAGAATCAGAAATGTTTTGATCCGGAGCTTTGGGAAAAAACAAACCACAAAGGGAATTCTGAAATGAAAATCATTTCAAACCAAAGATTCGGAATTGCTCACTGAGAATTCACCACTGCTGACCGTAGATGTTTGTCCTCAATTCACTCTTCCATCTAATTCCTACCCACATGTTGATGACAAAACTCAACGAAAACACTTGGGTGTCCCTGAATCTGCAATGCTGGTTGGAAAAAATTCCGATGCACAAATTTTCCTGCTGCTGGCATCAAGGGGGCTTTGTGGGGAAGGGGCCACTGAAGATTTCTTGCAGACAGCGTTGTCTACTTGCCAGCAAGTAGAAATAATCTGTGTTCAACATTTGTTCTGATCTAAATATTAAAAACTGTGGCTTTTCCTTTCCTTTGCTTCAACAAATGAAAGGGAACCAGGGGAGCGCCGTCCATCTCCATCCGGTCCTTGGTTTGCCCATGGATGGTTCTGCTCTGAAGCAGATGGGGGCGGTGGAGCAAAACATATGGAAAGAAGAAAGAAAACCTTTTAAAGCTGCATTAAACTTTTTTCCTTTTAACTCTGTGTCAACTTCCTACATGGCAATGTTTTGTAGAGGACTGGTTCCTTCGGGTGTTTATTTTGGAGTCATTGTAAAATATCCAAAGATGCTGAGTACTGTATGATCTACAAGAACTTGAAGCACGTTGGGTTGGTTTTTTTTTGTTTTTTTTTTTTTTTTTCCTGATTTGTGATTTTGCTTTTTTTTTTCTTTCCTATTTGTCTATGGGGGAAAACATTTGCAGTTTTTCTATTTATAACTATTTTTATGTGATTGCTTTATGTACAAAACAATGGGGAAAAATGATAAAAGAACAAAAAAAAAAAAAAAAAAAAAAAAAAGGAGAGAGAAAAACACACACCAGTAAATTTGCCTTAGTTACTCACGGGACAATCACCCTTAACTTTCATCAAAGCTAGAAAGCGAATGAAAATTTTTAAAGAAGAAAGAATTTTACGTATTTATTAAACTCCATGAATCGATGCTGTTAAATTATTAGCAGGACTTGGTGCTCTTGCCTGTGGCCAAGCTGAGGAAGCTGAGCTGCCCCCCCAACCTCGGCTCCACCTGTACAGGTTTTTGGAACTCCAGAGCGATCACCTGTTCTGAAGCACCCCACCGGATGGGGCTGCTGGCACAGCAATGCTGATTCTTAAGGCTGATTCTCCCGCGCTGCGCTGGGTTGGGTTGTGCAGAGGCAGGAGCTCTTTTGGGGCCGGGGGGTGGATGAGAGCAAACCCTGCGGTGGTGGCACACGGTGACTCCAGCCACAGGTGTTCTGGTGGGTGAGCGCGTTTTGGGGCTGACATCCTCATCTCATCCCAGCAGCAGAGCACTGTGGAAGCTGTGCCCAGAGAGCTGTGGGTGCCACATTCGTGCAGGCGCTCGAGGCCACGTTGGATGGGCTTTAAGCATCTGTTAACCATCCCTTCTGAAGCAGCTGGGTCTATGGTTCTGTGATCTTCGAGGTCCCTTCCAGCCCAAGCCGTGCTGTGATTCTGTGACTCAGTGCCGTAGGGCTCTCTGCAGCTCATGGGCTGGTGGTCCTTGGTCATCTTACCCCATCTGTGGTCCAGCTGCGGCAGGTGCTCATGTGGACACCGTTGTGAGCCCATTTTTCACAGTGCAGCTAAGAAGCTGCAGAATTTCCAAGTTATTTTAGTGCTATTTTTTAAAAGAGGTGCAGAAGCCTGGAGCGTAGGTTGTGGATGTCAGCAGTGGGACCCACTCCATGTCATTCAAATTCCACACTAGAGAACAGGCACCCTGTGCCTATTGAGACAGCCCCGTGCTGACCGTCTTAGGTGTGCTTTAGGAACGTGGTCAGTGGGCATAGAAGGGATGGGTTGGACCGGATGATCTTGAAGGTCTTTTCCGAACTGAGCGGTTCCATGACTCTGCCTGCCAAGTGATTTCCATCCATTGGTCGCACAGAAGCAGGCAGGAGAGTGATTCCCCTGTTCAAGTTGGGAATGGACCACCTCCAGCATCATCATGGTGTTCTGTCTTCCATCTGCTCACGCGGTTTGGAAATCTAGCTTGGATTCACTGCACTACTTTTGCAGTGAGTTACGGTGAAGCTCCTCACCAGCAGTGAGAATGCTGGTGTTCAGGCAGCCAGACGTTAGCCAGTCTATCTGGGGCAGGACAGACAAACCCCACCACCTCCTCAAAGACAGGTACAGCGCTGAGAGCTCTGGTCTCCCAAATCTGGCTTCGCAGCTCGCATGGTGCTGAGCGTCCTCTCAACGCCTTCATCTTGGGGAGTGAAGTTTTCATTTTATGTTTTAAATCTTGTGGCTTTCAACCCAATCTTATATTCTGGTTTACTTACAATGTAAAAAAAAAAAAAAAAAAAAAAAGAAAAAAAAAAAAAAAAAGGACTCGCAAGGGGAGGGTGAAATGAAAATGTGAAAATTGCTTAGAGGAGCCGTGTGCTAATCAGGCACATGGGAATTGCAGGAAGAAAACTGGCTTTGGGAGATGCTTGTTAGCAGCAACATATGGCTACACTCTGCTCTCAAACAGCTGCTGTTATCTGCTGGAGCATCCAGAGCAAAAGGGAAAAGAAAAAGAAAGGAAGGAAGCGTGCACTTTGGGAAGCAAGAGGCAAATATAGGAAGACCTTGTTTTTGGGAATGCCTTGTGGTCAGGTCTGGGGGGGGTCTGCTGTCACCTTTTGGCGCAGCCTGCATTTCCTTGAGCTGCGTGTGACTTCCTTCCCAAGTGGAAAAATAAAACGGAGAAAAGGGAAAAAGACAAAAGCCCTTCCTGCAGAAGATGCCCCATGGCCCTGCTGCTCTCTGCCCCTTTGGCCCCAGGAGCCGTGCCACCCTGCTGGCTGGAGGGAACACAGCTGTGGCGTGGAAATGCCTTTTTGTTCATAGTTCTCTTGTGTTGTACTGATGTTTCACACGACTTGCACTATGGGCTGTAGGCAGAATGCTGTGAGATCTCTTGTTCCCCGTTCTTGTTTGGTCGCGACTCCCCTTGGCTAATGAAGCAGTGGTCCTATAGATGTCCCTGTTGCACATTTTACACCCATGGAGGAAAATAAAGTGTTACAAAGCAGTGGCTCTGTGTCTTTCCTTTGTGCTGCTGTGGGGCTTGGACAAGGGGAATGATGGCGTGAGATGGTGGCATTGCACGAGTCGGTACAGTGCCCTCAGAGGAAGCCCGCAGGAAAAAAGGGAAAAAAAGGGGTGCCTAAGAGCAATTTGGGGTTTTTCCATCCTTCTGGGTTTGGCTGTCCACGACCTGCCGACAGCTCAAACCTGCAGTGCCCTCGTGTGGTGGATTGGGGACATCTCTGCTACCAGACATCGGCTGTCACGGGTTCCCATAGGTTTGGGCTCCCGGTCCCATGGGGCAGGTGCAGTCCTCCAGCGTGTACTACTGCATCTACCAACCAGGGGCTTTTTGCACACCAATTAACCACAACCAAATAACTATTCTTGCACAGGTGGAGACAACCCACTCATAGCCTTCTGCAGCCTTGTACGGGCTCTGATTTGGGGAGGGTTGTTCCTGAATTAAAAGATTTGCCTGCTTTCATTCTGGTGAAAAGATGCCATTTTTAGCTCGGTTTCCAAAGTAAACAGGACTGGGAATTCTCAGCAGGACCATCTTCTGCAATGTTTGCTGCAGTTTGGCATCTTTTGTGAAACAATTAAGGCTTATGGCAGGCACTTGAGCTCTAAAGAATTGGAGTTCACAGAATCACAGAATGGCCCTGGTTGGAAGGGACCTCAAGGATCATGAATCTCCAACCCCCTGCCACACGCAGGGCCACCAACCTCCACATTTCATAGCAGCCCAGGCTGCCCAGGGCCCCATCCAACCTGGCCTTGAGCACCTCCAGGGATGGACGGGGCATCACAGCCTCTCTGGGCAGCTGTTCCAGCACCTCACCACTCTCATAGCAAAGAACTTCCCCTGACATCCAAACTCCATCTTCCCTCCCTCAACTTCAAGCCATTTCCCCTTGTCCTGCCATTATCTACCCTTTCAAATTGTTGACTCCCCTCCTGTTTGTAGGCTCCCTTTAAGTACTGAAAGCTGCCATGAGGTCACCCGACAGCCTTCTTTTCTCCATGCTGAACAAGCCCAGCTCCCTCAGCCTGTCCTCGTAGGGGAGGTGCTCCAGTGCCCTGATCATCTCTGTGGCTCCTCTGCACCCTCTCCAACAGCTCCCTGTCTTTCTTGTACTGGGGGCTCCAGACCTGGACACGGCACTGCAGATGGGGCCTCACAGGAGCAGAGCAGAGGGGGACAATCACCTCCCTGTCCCTGCTGGCCACCCCTCTGCTGATGGAGCCCAGGATGCCATTTGCTTTCTGAGCTGCAATGCACACTGCTGGCTCATGTTCAGCTTTTCATCTGTCAGGACCCCCAGGTCCTTCTCTGCAGGGCTGCTCTCCAGGACCGCTCCTTCCA